ATGGAATGTGTGTGTGTGTGTGTGTGTGTGTGTGTGTGTGTGTGTGTGTGTGTGTGTGTGTGTGTGTATGTGTATGTGTGTGTATGTGTGTGTGTGTGTATGTGTGTGTGTGTGTGTGTGTGTGTGTGTGTGTGTGTGTGTGTGTGTGTGTGTGTGTGTGTGTAGTCACGCTTCATAGCAACGCATCAATGTCCATGATAGGAACTACAATTGGATTGCAAATTCAAAAAGTCACGAGATTGTCAAGCCAAATAATATCCAAAACATCATCTATAACAAGTCATGCTCGCAGTAGAGCCGATCGTAGCACATCCACTATAACGACGTACTGCATATTATGGGCAGAGATCACTAAATGATTGCTAGGCTTCGTGCGATTGTAACTAGGCAGGCACTCACCAATTATCCTTCGACATGCTGACGGAAAATCACCCACCAAGGGCTTTACTTTACAAGATAATACCCGCACAACGTACAGCTCCAATCAGCCAACAAGATGACCCCTAGAACTTGAAGTCTCCCTTTCTCAAACTCTTATCTTGGCAGTCTTGAACCTTGTAGGTCTACGAACACGACTATGAGTAAGACTGTCGAGAGGTGTGGAAACAAACTGATCACTATTCGTTTCGAGATACAAAATTCCATACTCATTTTGGTGTGACATGATGCATGCATGATCGATCAGCGCGGCACAACACATGTGACTACTGTCGGATTACGTCATTTTGTGTGTAGCAAGGTTTTTTACGTGCTTTCCGCAGAGTATGAGACTCGCAGAAAGCCCAAAAAAGAAAATCTCACATTGCAATAAACTTTATTTTTTCGATTTTCTGATCCTGTACTTGTAATTGTAGCTTGGTTTGGAAGCAAGAGAGTGAACATACAACCATCTATTCTATTCTCACTCGATTGTTCTTCTCTTCAACCAGTTTGAGAGGTTTGACGGTGGTAGTCTATAGGAAAAGTAAACATCATCTATCGCGATGGCGTCTAAATCCAAACTGAAGGTTAGTTTCATAGCTCAACAAATTTCTGCATTGGATTTCTTGCATGAAGTTTTTAGTTCTAGCCAATTTCTAGTGACTGAGTCGGTTTGCACTCCTTTGGAAATGTTGGCGTATGTATTTTCGAAGGTGCAAGAAATATCTTCTTCTACAGAGTGTATGGCAAGTCCTAAAATCTCTGCAGCTATATGCGGTAGTACTGTACTTTCTCACTGGGAGACTTCTGAAGGAGGCTGTGGATAGGTGATCAATTAGATAGCTCAAAACAAAACCCATGAAAAAACTGCAGCATGCGTATGTACTAACCATGGGTGCTGGTGTGTGTAAAAAATGGCAGAGAGAGAGAGAGAGAGGGGGGGGGGGGGAGGGGGTGTAGCCAGGAAGTAAAATGATCTAATTTGGAGAGCATACGCCACCTTCAAGACTTCTGGATTGGATTTGGGATATCGGAACACTGTTACTTCTGAGATACTGTTTGTTACTGAGACTGATCAATTACTTGACGACTACATTGCGATCAAAATGCCACAACCAAAGGAAGAAGCTAGGGACAGCGAAAACCGTAAGCGAAGCAGCAAACAACATGCAATATGCCTAGCAACATGACTAGTATGCCGTGCTGTTATGTGTCTGTAGTCCACAGCAGCACACCAGAAGTAAATACACCAAGTTGAAAAAAGATCGTGTACCACCATCACTAGTACACGCGTGAAGCGCGCATAAAGCAGCTTGCACAGAAGTGCATGTTCCGAAAAAATGTAAAACTAGCTCCCGCAGCAAGGAGCGTGTTCTTAGTTCGACAAGTCTCCACACAGTGCGTACAAAGATCATGCATTCAGGAGACACCATTGCAGGTATATGCGGCAGGCATACGGTCCAAACTGGACAAAGTCACCGAGAGTTCACATGTGGAGTACACCGATACTACAGTGAGTGCGTTTGATTATGCCCGCAAATCGATTCGCGCTATTCACATCACCCCATGTGGATAGGGTGAATGGATTCCGAATCGATTCCAGTGCTCATGACGTGAAAATCGAACGACTTGAATGCATGCGAATGGATTCATGAATCGATTCAAGTGCATAATCGAACGCACTCAGTACGAGCAATGTGGCATGTACGTGAGTAAGCAGGCGTGCGTATCCGGCATGGATCCTAGTCCTGACAAGTACTCTAATTTCAGAAATTTTAGGGGCTCAATATTTTCAGTACGACAGCAAAAGGCCAGGTTAGGTGAATAGAAATTTCGGTACAGAGAAGCAGTCCCCTGTTGGATTATGTGTGTTAGTGTTTTTTCGGTGTATTGAAATTTAGGTATGAAGCGGATGCACCGAAAGTCCCGAAAATAAAAGTACGCACCGAAAGTACCGAAAATAAAAGTACACCGAAAATTTGTGAAATTTATGCAGCAGTTCAATTGCATACGACAATAGTACGGTACCAAGAGAGAATCCTGAATAGTGGCACCATTGGCCACACTCCGGGGCCAGCAAAAGTAGAAGAATATGAGAATGTGGATGCGACTGAAATTAGATGACTTTTTAAAGGGTTCCACGGCCAACGAGGGTCGTGAGGGACATATTGCATACCTTTCCACCAGCCCTGACCACCCCAGGGGCGTACGCCGCTCGCCTCCAGGAGTGGTTCCCATGCCAACTGATGAACCACCATTACACACAATTGAAGTGCTGTTTTTCGTACCCCACAGAGTTTCTGCATATTCTCCTCAGACTGGGTGAAATTGCCATCCACAAGCTGCTGGACGATGTCATTGCTACGCATTTATGATTTTAAAAGACTGAACTTTTCCCCGTTTTATGGATGTTTTGGTCAGCATGACGATTGCATGCAGTCTTGAAAGCTGCCTAAGTTTCGAATCATCTGGAGCAAACATCACACAGGCCAAGCAGAAGCCACCATTGCATGCCTGTCAAAAGACTATCCAGGGTAACTCCTCCAACAAGGATAGTTGAAAGTGGCGCTGTTTGCCATCCATCTGGACACGCACAGGAAATGAAATCCTTCGCCTGCGGTGGCGCACAACGATTGTCGATGACGGAAATCTTTTCCGTGTCCAGCAAATTTCGGGGGACTGGATTCCACTGTGGACGTCGACTTTCAGAATCCCTTCCAACACCCTCCCATGTCATTGAAGTAAGTTTTGGATGATCCAGCAGCTTCCAACAACGGTCGCTCTACAGCTTCGCCGACGATTTCTTCCTCAGCGCTGCTCGTTGCATGCATACTTCACTTGCACGTCAGGTGCGTCTGCATTCTCATCTATCGCTTGACCTTCGCCACTAGCACTGGCTACACACTTTGCCTGCAGCTCAAAATAGCTCTGAATAGAGCGCTGGCCCTCTGGATGTCGACGCTTCATTTTTCTTTTCCACAAAGCGAAAGCATCGTCAAAACACGACCAACTTTGTCAAAACAAACTCCAAAAGAAAATTTGACTCTGAGATCGAGGAATCCGGCGATGTAACTAGACTAGAGACTTTGTTGAACCCATCATGGATGGGTTCAGGCATGGCCCAGTTCAGTAGATCTACGCTGTGTCCCACTCCCAGCACCACTTTCACACCTGGGCTAGTGGTCAGTCACCGTCGACGCGTCCTCGGACCGGCAGGCGGACTCCAGACATGCACTGCATGCACTTGCACTGTGAGTCTGTGAGCGCTGGGACTGGATCAAAAAATTCTCTGTACCCATATCGAATTTGTTTTACTGGTTCCCGGGCATCCCGGGAACCGCCCTATGTACGCCCCTGCACCCCGTGTTTGGAGTACTGGGGCACAACCTCAGTGTGTATCCGGTATATGCATCAAGCATGCACACTTGTCAATCTCAATCTTTTCTGACAAAGTCGATGTTCCAGCCAGGTTTCATTGTGCTAAATACTCCTCTCGACAGGCCTAGAGCCTCTGGATTATCCTTGAAATACAATAAATACAAAAGTGTGTATCTGTCTATCTGTTTGTCTGTCTGTCTGTCTGTCCATCTGTGTGTCTGTCTGTCTGTGCGTGTGTGTGTGTGTGCTTGTGCTTGTATGCATGTGTGTGCACATGTCTATACTTTCCTGTGCTACGATTGCCCAGGGCAAGAATGACATGACAATGGTAGATCAGAAGAAGATCAATGACTTTGCCAATGCCAATGCTCTTTTCCAAGATGTAAAAGAGGAGATCAAGACGAAAGAGGTAACTTTCGAGAGATTTCATGCTCAGAATTCTGTTTTACTGTTCGATTTTTTCCCGAAAGGAAACATAGCTTGTTTTCAACATGATAAAAGACACATCTGAGTATCCGAGTTCAACTTAGCTTGTTTTCCTCCACCTACAGTTGCGCTCTGTGAAATCCGGCCCAGCGGTGCATATGCGGCACCCTCAACTTGCACGGCCCCTGACGTCCTGGATGCCGTTCGAGTGCGGCTGTACGTACACATGTACAAACACAGTGATGCGATCCGAACTGGTCCAGGATGCCAGTTTTGCGCTTCGGGTCGTATTTCACCGAGCACCACTGTAGTTTATCCCCATTCCACTCAAGATCGTCACCAGCAGTAAAGTCAACATAGTTGCTGGCATACTCCCCGTGCTCTTTTCCGCTCCCCAACCCCTAGAAGGCTAGATGACGCCTTCTGGTGATAAGAGGCGGGTGGCCCTTTCATTTTCCTTTACCAGAACACATGTCAATAAAGTTTGCACGTCCGCGTATACAATTGTCACAATCGGCTATACAATTGTCTTGAGAAATACAACCAGCTTTGATAGGCTGCAACCACAGTACGTACAAAATCGTACAAAATCAATCAGGGTTGTATGATGAACCTTATCGAAGGCTTTCCTGAAGTCAAGAAATGCACAATGATATCTGTTGTTCTTGTCCGAGACACGAGCCATCTGGTGAGTCAGCAGGATAAGTTGGTCAGTTGCTGATCGCTGTGGAACATATGCAAATCGGGATGGTGATGTTAATGTGTTGCGATGCAGGAAACTGCTGAGACTCAGTGCTATCCGGTATTCGAAAAGACGACTGATGGGATGCAGCAGTGAAATAGGACGATAATTTGTTGGTGAAGAGGCACTTCCTTTGCCTTTATATAATGGGGTAACAGAGGCCGATTTCCAGGAATTGGGGAAGCACGAAGTAGAAGATATGCTCAAGTTAAACAGGAATGAGCGGGATTCACACAGTAAATCTGCCATTGAGCGTAGTATCGGTATCATGTGATTTGCCGAGGTGGATTTTCGGGGGGATAGGTGTGCTAGGTCGTAATGGATTTGACCAGGACTAAATTTAGAAATGTTGTACAAAGTGGTGCAAGCACTTAATGACGGCGCTTGAGAGGGGTGTCCATTCACTGCTGGTAGCATTGAACACTGGGCGGCAAAATGTTGAGCAAGAAGATCGCATTTTTCATGCTCCGTGGTGGCGCTGGTGTCACCATCTGTAAGATCAGGGACTGACGACTTGCTGCGAACAATGTTACACAACTGCTTGGCCCTTTTCCACCATACATATCCGCCCTTCCTGCAATCGAACGTAGATATGAACGAACTTGTAGGTTGTCTTGGGGGCCGGTACCAAACAGATAAGAAGACAGGTCGGCTCGGATGCTTGATCTCAACAGTCATCATTTCGCAGCTACCGTACGTAAATTCTGGGTGAAAATCGCAGCTCAAATGGTCCCTAACATTGATTGCCACGCCACCCCCACCAAGCTGTGACCCTGGTAGGGATGTACTGCTTCTGTCCTTTCGGCATAGTTTATAACCTGGTAGGGTTACAACATCATCAGGAATGGTGGGATTTTGCCATGTTTCTGTTAGACACAGAATATCCAGAGACTCTTGTGTCAATAGGTTCAATACTTCGGCTTGTTTACTCGGGAGACTACAACAGTTGATAATACATATTCGGCATGCTATTTGCTTCGGAGATCCCCGGGGTTCCTATGCCGAGTTGGTCTGCAGTAACCTCTGAATTTCTGCATCTGAAGCTGTTTTACCTTCGACAAGTATGCTGTCAAGTGGAAGGGAGCATTTGACACCATTGGCGCGGAGTTTCTTGAATATTGGTAGGGTACGGCGTCGAGTTTCCTGTTGCTTTCTTGTCAGATCATGATTAACGTATACGTTATGTGCACCATGCTTCAGGCCAAAATGATTTTTCATGAGGCGTGCCTTCGTATCTGCATTGGTTTTTACGTGAATTAACCTTGGTTTGTCCCCAGATGACTTGCCAATTTGCTTTACCTCGATTGTGGCAGGGTTGATTTCAGGTACCAAAGTACGGATGAGTTGTGGGAGATTTTCGTTGTCCTCCTCTGGGAGACCCGAGATGATGGTGTTGTCTCCGATTTCAATCTGCCTGCGGTTCTCTTGAGCAATCTCTCGTACTGTATTGCATAGCTGGGGTACGGGTAAGGGAGGCTGGTCCTGGGCAGGTGGTGTGACAGGGCATGTAACGGTCTCACTGGGGGTCCGGTTTGGGGGTTTCCAGGACCTGAACTCGTCTATGCAGGTCTTCATGTCTTCGCTTGCAGCTGCTGAGCCACTGGTAGTCTGCTTCAAGCTCTCCATGTTGGTGGATAATTTGAACATAGCTTGGTCTACATCTTTAACTACGTTGTCAACGCGATTTGCAAGTGAACGTATTGTGGCATTTTGCTGATCATTGCTGTTGGTGGCAGCTTGTCTTGTTATCTCTGTCTCATCATACTTGGCAGAGAGGAATGCCTCGTTTTTCTCTAACCCCGTACCATGTCATGGTGTGATTTCTCTACCATATCAATCCGTGTTTCGAGGGTTGCAAGACGTGCTTCCACTGAGAATTTCAAATATGATATTGGAGAACAATTATTTTCAATAGCTTTGAGAATTGTAGTCATTTTGCCATCCAATAAAGCGCTCATACATGTACGAAATTGCTCAACAAGGTGGTCTGCACTTACAATTCCCTCGCTAGGTGTCGCTAGGTGGGAGGGGAAAGTGCAACCAGAGACGGGTGACAAGGCGTTATGTTATAGCAACATACTACTCAACTTTTGTGGCTCTAAAAATACAATCATGTGCCATAACTTTCAACACTAGTCTTCTAGAAGTGTATAACGTCAAGCCAGAGTTGACCTTTCTGTAGAAGCAATGGTAGCAGTGTAAGAACAGAATATCAGTGTTTGTGGGACTGTGCTGTTCTGGCTCAGTGGTCAATTCAAGATCGAACATGTCGCTCATCTGGCCCTGCTTCGCCTTCTGGTACGCTGCCCAAAGCTCCATGGGCTTCTTTTCAAGATCGTCAGTGGGCGCGGCGTCTCGGAAACTAACGACAGTAGGCAACATGAGTATCTGTAAATTTTACTGAAAGCAAAGCCCTGGCAGATGAATCTCAAATACTACAAATTCACTGACAAGGAAGCCGTCTACTACCGACACAGTGCAAACCTCAACAAGAGAGACATCTACCCGTATGAAGAACCGAGAGAAAGGCAAGGAAAGGGCGAAACGTTGCTTTCTACAGGGGCACCTGGTTTGCTGAAAAGAAACACAGCACGTTTTGCGTTTCGCACGCGTTTCGTTGACGACATACTGTATATCATGTAGTTTTAGGTGTATTTAAATTTCGGTACCAGGGACCTGCCAGGTTTCAGGTGTAATGTAGATTTAGGTGACCAGCCTACCCTTCACATACAGTGCATACTCGAGTGCCTTTTAGGTGTAATCTAAATTGAGGTGCCTGAATTCTCTACCGAAATTGCCGAAATTAAAATCACACCGAAAATAACGTGTTATACGGTAGGCGAAAAAGTTGCGTTGACGCAGTTTTGTCCTAGTGTGGCTGCAGCCTTAGGAAGTTTCGCTTGTGCCAGGCCGCGCGCAGTTCAGCGCATGAAACGTAGTTCACACATGCATTAACGCGTTTGTTAGCACACTGCATGCTCCCTGTTGCCAGCGCGGGTCTCGAACTCGGGACCTTGTGACTCGCAGGCAAGCCCACAACCACTCAGCCAAAGCGCTGGTCTTTTCATGTACCTGGTATTTTCTTTCATATAATTATCTGGTCGTAACAATGATAGCCTTGTCAGCAAGTACCTGTACCTTACACTGGCTCTACTTATAGTCATAGTCTCTTTTTCATGAGGCTGAGCTCTACAGAGTTTGTGGTGTGAAATATTCGTACAGGAGTAGCTGACTAGGTAACTTATTGTGGTTCCGCACAACCCTGCCCACTGCATGAAGTATTTCCGTACTAAACCTTCCACACTCTGTTTCATAATGCATCATACATGCTCCCACTCGCAAAGTCACTTTCTGTGCATATGTTCATGCTTGCCCCGGGCTCGAAATATTTGTTTTATGAATAGTAGCTGCTGTTCAATGCCATGTCGTTGTGGCCTCATGACCTCTCCGTATTTATTGTTTTTGTGTGTGTGTGTGTGTGTGTGTGTGTGTGTGTGTGTGTGTGTGTGTGTGTGTGTGTGTTTGTGTGTGTGTGCATGGGTGTGTATGTGCGTGCACGCATGCGTGCGTGTGTGTTTGGCGCGTATCTCATTGTGTCCGGTGCAGAAAGAAATGCAGGATCTTAGTGACGCTAGTGATGATGTTCTGATGCTGGATGAAGGTGTCAATGTACCATATCCTACTCTGTGCTTGTGTGTGTGTGTGTGTGTGTGTGTGTGTGTGTGTGTGTGTGTGTGTGTGTGTATGTGTGTATGTGTGTGTGTGTGTGTTTGTGTGTTTGTGTGTATGTGTGTATGTGTGTTTTTGTTTGTTGCTGGTATCTATTGTAAAACAAATGGTTTTGGTCAGATCTTTGGCGATTCTAAACTGGTTCAACTTTGCTGTGACAATTTTTACCGACTCGAGTCTCCAGTCTGGCCAGTAAATACGCAGTGGATGTTGAGCTGAGGGACACAATTTCTCTCAGTGTTTTTGGCTACAGTCACACACACACCTGTGTTGTGTGATCACTGCATTTTAAGGACAGTGCTGTGTTTTCTCTTGTACACCTGTACTACTCGTGCAAACTTGTACCAGGTCATTGTTGATAGGAGCAAGCTAAAAAGCATTGATGTGCAAAGAGGGCAGTGGTTGGGCGTATGAGGCCAGGCCTATCCAGCAGTTTTACCCAGCCAATCACTCACCATGTACGGAATGCACTTATCTACGTTCTCATTACGCCGTATTTGAATTAGGGGGAGTTCACTTGTATGATCACTGTGGCGTGTGGTACGTTCTGTTCCTTGACTCCGTGGCAACACGTACAAACTGGGCGAGGCGTTTATCTGCGTCGACCAGGACTCTGCGCAGGAGATGATGGAGTCGGCCAAGGCCAACGCCGAGAAGCGCCTGGCTGATCTGCGCGCACAGCAAGTCGAACTGCAGGCCACAATGGCAGAACTCAAGAAGGACCTGTATGGCAAGTTTGGCGACAACATCAACTTGGAATCGGATGATTAGCCGCCCCCGCTGCTATTCAGTGTGACGTCTTCTACCCGTTTAGTGGTGGTTATCCCAAGTTGTTCCGCTCTATCGCAGGGCACATTTCTGAACGACAATTGACTGCTTGGCATGCGGTGTGTATGCCTGACTTGATTCCATGCCGCACGTGAATTAGATTCTCAAGCTAGAGCTGCCTTGGTGTGGCTGAGCTGCCGCCGCTATCCGGGGCAAGATTATTCCTTTGAGCCCGTTCTCGAGCACTCTCTTTCCCGCTGGCGTTGAAGTGTGCGCCCAGCCCCTTGGCCATGCTTGAGCAAATCTGTCACCTCTACGAGTTGGCTACCAAAGGCACTGACTGACTTGCCCCCAGGAGATGGGGTGCATATGGCAATACTATTGCTTTTCAGACAATTTTATTTTTAGGATTTCTCTGGGACAATCCATTATCCGCCATGCCAGTTTCTGTCTGGAGCATGCGGATATTGTTATTTGGTGGTACATCATTCCATGACTTCTTCCCAGTGCTTCTTTACGAACGTTCCAATGATTAGATCCGTGTATGTGTGTGACTGTGACGCATCATGTGTGTGTGTGTGTGTGTGTGTGTGGTATGTGCGCGGCGCGCGCACGCTTATTCGCGTCGGTGTTTGCAAGCTACGGTGCTGGCCGGTGAAATCCCAATACATCGTGTTCTGCGCAGTTTGCGTATGATGCTCTTGATTGCTATCGATACGGGCACAGCTATTCAAGCTCCTGACACAAAGGACCGTTCTGCTCGTTGTCAGGAACTACATGTAGAGCAGTCGGGTTAACTTTTCACTGGCCAGTGCTCTACTTGGAGTTTTGGGCACAATTCGGCATGGTGTGTACTGGTATGCGTGTTCATTCGTGTGCCTGTGTGTGCCTTGGATCTCCGTACAAGCTCGACAGGCATTGATGGCTCGTCGCCCAGCACATGTACTGTTGTCGGATAGTTTTTATTACTGTATGGTTTTTAGCCGCCTTCCAATCTCGGTGTGCAAATTTGTAAGATATCGCCGTCTTTATCTCGCCAACAGGCGAGCTATGCTGTCGTGCATATATCTTTGCACTTTATGGATGGCATTATCGACTTGTGAAATGTTATGTAAAAATACGCCACAAGTACATTTATAATACTGTAAAACTGGAAAGTTGAATGTTTTTGTAATTTTGGCATGATAGCGTTCAGAAAGTTTGACGGTGGCTACTTGGCCACCCATCTGTATGCGCATCTTTACCCAGACATCTCAAAGTAGCCGGGTTCGTGATAACGTTTCTTCAAGTAACGAAAAAATTGGTCGCTATAACGTTAGACTTCGTGACTCGTTAGACTTTCCGGTTTTACAGAACTGTAGATCTACATGAGATCGCCCGGGCCGTAGGTCTACGAGTCCCTGGACTGGTATCTGCCCATGGAATTCGAAAAACCGGGTTTCGATTTCATTTTTTATTCTTGTTTTCATGACTCCCTGGTATTTGGTAACACCAGTATGTGCCATCAAGTACGATTACATGTACGGCGGGGGGGGGGGGGGGGCGAAGAAAGAGTAGAAATTCCGAGGCTGAAAATCTCAGTGAAGAAGTCGGGGGGGGGGGGGGGGGGGTGCTTTCACTACTCCTTGCCCTTGCCGCCTTGGCCTATGAATATATGTATGAGTATGACTCCATGACATGAGTATGATCGATAGCCTACAAGCGCCTGGTGAGAAATTAGAGAATGTTGGTTGAAGAAGGGAAGAACAAAAATAAATAGCAGACATACTAAAATACTGTGGCAGTGGTGTATGATTTTGTAGTCAAATCAGCCCCAGCCAGGCTATTCTCGGCGTTGCAAACAAAGAGTCGTCTCCCTGTGTACCGTGGCACCGTTGTGCATGCAGAGGAACTAATACTTAGCGGTTGAACAGGAAGAACGACGTGGCAGATTTCTCTCCTCTTAGGCCTTGGAACGACAGCTGATGTCTTGTAGTACTAGTCACTAGTCAGAGCCGCGATGCTGATAATAGCCATGAATGATGGTGGTGTGGGTGATCTGGACATCATGCGCCACTGAGGAGACAACTGCCGGGCAGTAGCTCACTTCAGCGTCCGAGGCATGGAAATAACGATTATGTTGCAGACACGAGCCTCGCTGGAGACTGGAATGGCCCTGGATTACTTACTTCAGTACAAGGGTTTAGCAACATAGCTTGTCCATTAGTACATGATCCATGTACATGTAGAATGTGTCATGGATTAGTTGCGCCGAGACCAACCAGTACAGAACTGGCTAGCTGTATACAGGAGATTCGTGTCGTAGCATGATACCAATACAACTTGGTTCAGTGTCATGGAAGTGTCTTGAACAGGAATTAATATTTGAACTACTGGATCGGCTGGCTGACGGACAGTTCAAGAGCATACGCTACATTCGAGTCATATGCCGTAAGTGACTTTTGTGTCAAGTGCGACTGGGCAGCGAATGGGAGTTTACAAAACTTTACGCAAACATCAGAATGTGAAGTTTTCGGAGCAAGTTCCGATGCATGAACCAGGCCCGCTGGAACCGGTCCGGTTGGTCAGGCTAACACCGGACCAACGTTGTAGCTACCAACGCATGTTTACTGCTGAGGAGGGTATATGTCCCTGCCACAGGGGCGGATGCAGGAGGGGTTCCAGGGGTAACCCCCTAAATTTCGTAAATGTACCACTGACAACTATACGCGTGTCCAGGTTTATGTATCAGCTATTCAGTTTTGACTACACTGGAACCCCCCTGTAGAGATCGCTGGATCCGCCGCTGTACCATATTATACACGAAGTACTTGTATGAAAGACTAGGGTCAGACCGGACCAATTGAAAACTGCTTCTGGTGGTCCTGTGAACGATGCATGAACGACCACAAACCCCTCCTCTCCACCCTTGTTGATGACAACTCGTCCTGCTTGGTACACACTACTGCATGTGCAGGCTGCACTCACCTCCTGCCTTTGCGGAGGACCCTTCCGAGCGATACGTACGCAGCCCATTCACTGTGATGAATTGATGGTAGTGGAGTCATCTGTTCTCTTTCTGGTTCGCCGCTGGTGTAGGCCAGAGAACTGATCAGCTACACCGTACAACATGGATCATGCTAGTGTGCTAGGGACAAGGCCAGTCAAGCAGGCATTGAGCAGCAGCCTGGTGGCCGAGTGGAGCCACAGTCTGATACACTGGATGGACGGCGGCACATCATCTCTGGCCTGACATGGTGAGTTTCAACTGGTGTTTTACAAGACCATGTGATGCATTCTACAGGTCTACCCTTGTTAGTGGACAACCGGGGGGGGGGGGGGGGGGGGGGGGGGGGGCAATTTTTTATAACCAGTATTATCTACTATCTGGACTTGCATGTATGCGTTTCAGGCGTCGGGTTTTTTTGGATCGTTGTCTACTTTTGTAACTAATGTAGTAATGAGGTTTGTCTTGTAAGTTGTAACCGATGTCATACTACCGAGGGTGGACCTGTACCAGTACTTGAAGTGTCCACATTTTAGCTGGAGCAAGTAATATCCGACCTATTGAACAGAGCTGCATCCAGCACACAGTCTAGGGGCAGATCCGGAAATCTCTACACAGGGTTCCCAGTTTATCCAACACTGAAATGAATTGCTGATACATGTACAAGACGTACATGCACATGGATTCCAGTAGAGAGCGGAGTCCTCAGTCCTGTTCCATAGAGTGCTCAATGCAGGAGCAGGGTCGCAGTAACACACGAGTCACAGAGTACCACACGAGTCACAGAGTAACACACGAGTCACAGAGTACCACACGAGTCACAGAGTAACACACGAGTCACAGAGTACCACACGAGTCACAGAGTAACACACGAGTCACAGAGTACCACACGAGTCACAGAGTAACACACGAGTCACAGAGTACCACACGAGTCACAGAGTACCACGCGTCTGGTTTCCTGTGACTAATAGGTTCATGCCAGATGGCAATCACAGTTGTCTGAAGATGGCCATCTGGCATGAAACTATTGGTTACAGCAAGCCAGACGCGTGGTACTCTGTGACTCGTGTGCATTCCAGTAGTGCATTTGTGAAATTTAGGGGGTTCCGCGGACCTGACCCCCCCCCCCCCCCATCTGAATCCGCCCCTGAAGTCCAGTGTTCACAGTACTAGTGCCTTGCAGCTCGGTAGATGAGAACGGACTTAACGTGCCTCACCAGTTGTTTACACATTTGTTTGATCTCTTTGAAGGGTTCTGAAAATCTCTCGCACTGTATGCATAGTTCATGTATACAAGGTTAAAAACAGCTAGCTGCTTGGACATGGAGCAATCCTAGTGTACTATAAAGCGATAAACTTTCACGGCATGCAAATTTTGCGTTTCCATGAATTGGGCTGTGTTGTAACTGCCTTTTCTCCACCTGCTCCCAGTCCCGTGCCATCTCCACACTTCTACAATGGGCCGACGATAACTACATTTGAAAAGACTGTTTATTTCAAGACGACTATGGAAACACAACTAGACAAGACGAACTCAAGACGAAGACTGCTTTTTACACCGCAGCAACACGCGCATGCACCAACATGACGTACACACGACGTACACAAAATAACGTACTTTATCACTCTCTTATTATTGACCGCCACAGAAACTTGTGATCTCTAAGCGGTCAAATATCAGCATAATATATTATATTGACCGCTTATATTGACCGCTTATTATTGACCACTTAGCCCGAGGACTTAGAACTTTTTCCTCAACTTAGTATTCCTTTCTTCCTATAAACACAGCTAAAACAGGTTAGGTATGCCATGTCGTGATAAATCTATTATTGCCCTCATAATCGGTCAATATATGAAATATAGACCTTGTAAAAGACCTCGGGGGACCTCGGTCTTTTACTCGTTCTATATTTCCTATATTGACCTCTTTAATCGTGCAATAATAGATACATATACGATATGGTAAGTCTATCGATATACGGTACATAAGGTATGATACGGTAGAAAGTCCGTCTACTACACTGCTCCCCCTCAAATAATTTTCCGTCCTCGGAAAACAAACAAGAACAGAACACAAAAATTAATATAAACTTAAACTAGGCTCAAGCAGCAAAATTATTATAATGAAACAAAAGCTATGTAGCAATCTATGCAGCATATCAAAAAAGCTGAAGACCAAGACTGACTCACTACTACATGTAGACACGAACAGGCGTGCACCAATTGCATAAATGTATAGCACACACACACGCACAAGCACACGCACACGCACACACACACACACACACACACACACACACACACACACACACACACACACACACACACACACACACACACACACACACACACACACACATACACACCAAATAAGTCCGTCTACTACAGGCTGGTTCACGATGAGAAACTTTGCGATTGTATCTCTTCATTTGGACCTTTATACTGTCTGCGATCATGTACAGAGCAGTTTGTGGCGATCTATATTCGGCGATCATTCGCGAATGTGGGATGGTCGCGGAAATAGCGAAATTTAATCTCTAGCGAAAGT